AGACCCTGTCTCAAAAAAGCCAAAAAAAATCTTTAAAAAAAATCTAAATTCTTGGGCCTGGGGAGATAGCTCAGTAGAATAAGTGCTCGCCTGGCAAGCACAAGGTCCTGAGCTCAATCCCCGGTACCAGAAAAAAAAAAAAAAAATCTAAATTCTTGTGAGCTGGTTGTAACCCAATGGTGGAGCTCTTGCTTAGGGTTCACAAGGCCTTGTGTTCAATCCTCAGAACTAAAAATGAATAGCTGATTGATCTAATTAAAGAAATAAATGCTTAATAAAAGAACTTCGGGTTTTTTGCTTGTTTGTTGAGAAAGAGGCTAGCTTTGCAGTGTAGGCTGGCCAACTGCCTTCAAACTCAGGAATCTTCCTGCATCAGCCTCCTGAGTGTTGGGGTTACAGGCATGAAGCACCACGCCTGGCAAGAAGGAAGCACTATCTTGTTTTCCTCCCAACACTAGGGACTGAACTGAACGCTGACTCCTTCCTGTCAAGCAAGTGCTCTACCACTGTGCTTCATTCCCAGCAGGAATAGTTTAATCAAAGCTTTCTTACCTGAGGACACTGGAAGGGGAGGAAAAGGAGGCCTCCAAAAGGACTTAAGAGGCCAGGAAATCTTCTGAGCCATGCTAAACTCCCAGCTGTGGAAAGCAGACCAGGGAGGCCTTGCTGCACAAACTCACCTGCCAGCCAACACAAGTAAGTCCCCCAGGGCCAGCCGTACCTCAGAGGCCACCTTTCGCTGGGCTCAGCAGCACCTCCTCCCTGCAGTTCACTCCTCCGAGGCTGGCTTATTTTGTTTTCTCTGGACTGGCAGTTTGTGGAGAATCTCCACTTGGCTGCGAACTGGCTCTGAGTGACAGCAGCACTTCTGCAGAATTGGCAGGGACCGTGCTACGGAACATTTCAGAAACTTCAAGGCAAGAGGACAAACAAACAATCAAAAAAAAAAAAAGAACACCTCAGATTTTCAAGAGGAAAAGAGCTAGGAATCAGAAGCAAGTTCTGGGAATGCATTAGGGCCTGCAAAGGAGACCAAGGTGGGAAGCCTCTTTCAGCTTCTGCTCACTCCAGCCTGTCTGCTTAATCTTTTTGTGTTGCTTTGTTTTTGAGACAGGTTCTCACTGTGCAGTTCAGGCAGACCTTGAGCTCACTTTGCAGCCCAGGCTGGCCTTGCCCTCGTCATAACCCTCCTGCCTCAGCCTCCAAGTGCTGGGGTTGCGGGCATGCGCCACCACGCCCTGCTTCCAGCCTGATTATTAATTCATACACATGGACAACAATGTAATCTCCTCTTGCAGCCAACCGCGGGGCCTGCGCTGGTGGTGGTTTCGAGACTGCCTCTTCACCTATCACACCCCGGCCAAGGCTGGGACAGAACGGGTCTCCTCGCCCACCGGTACTGGCTCTGGGAAGGGCAGGGCGCATGCGTTGGACCCATCACACCCCGTGTCTGCACTCTGTTCTACTGACCTGCAGGGCTGGAAGCTGCACTGATTCTGCAGCACAGCTCGCTGCAGGCTGGGACGCTGGTGCAGTGGAGCCGCAAAGGGCAGCTGCCCTTCCTAGGATGCTGTGATAGCACCATTTAATCTCTATCTGTATGGAGTTGTTTCGGGTTTACATACACACACACACACACACACACACACACACACACACACACAACCTAGACAAGCAGTAGGGGAAAAAGTGCCTAGTGATTAAAAGCAAAAGAGTCTGACCTCAGCCATAATTTTTCTGTTTCTTACCAGCTGTGTGACCTTGGGCAACTTACCTAGCGTGTCTGTGCTTCGCTGGCTTTCTGAGATGAGTCGCACAGTAGTGTCCTTTGTAAGGATGGTAGGAGGATTGATCATGCTGATGAGTCAGGAGAATACATGGCCTGCTGGCAGTGGTGGCCGATGCCTGTAATCCCAGCACTCAGGAGGCTGAGACAAGAGGATCCCTAAAAGCTTGGGCTACACAGTGAGTTCAAGGCTAAGCTCCATAGCAGGACCCTGATTCAGGAAGAAACAAACAAAAAACATGGTTCACATTATAAGCACTATGGGCTCCTGAATGACCTATAGAAAGCCAGAATCACTCCTCACTCCTTTGTGTGTGTGTGTGTGTGTGTGTGTGTGTGTGTGTGTGTGTGTGGAGGGGGGTGTGTGGGAGAGGGAGCGCTGGGGATTGAACCTGGGAACTCTACCACTGAGCCACATCACCAGCCTTTTTGTTTGTTTGTTTGTTTGTTTCTCACTAAGTTGCCCAAGCTGGTCTGGAACTTGTGATCCCCCTTCGTCAGCCTCCTGGTAGCTGGGGTTACTGGCATACGCCACCACCTGGCTAGAATCACAAGCAGTGCCATCCTCTCCACTCCAGCATGTTCCCCAGACAAGAACCAACAAGCCCGGGCCTCACCTTTTCTCCCCAGGAGGTTCCTGGCCTCATCATCTAGGCATGCGCAGGCTGGAAAAAGTGGGAGGCAGCTTTGACTGAACCTGGTTTTTGTCCCTTGTCTAATAACCCAAGCTGTACCTAGATCCACCCTGCTGCAGCCCTGTGCCGTACCCCATATCTTCAGGGAGGGCCAGGGGCTTTTGAAGTGGTCCTTCCACCCTGCTCCCTCTGAACAGTCCTTGACTAGGAATGTGATCACCTCTGGTCACTTCTGATCCGACTTTTCCAAAGCCCTCACAAGATGCTTCCAAATGTCACGCCCTCCTTGTCACCCAGAACGACTCACCAAGCCATGTCTTTCTCTCTTCAGCTCTCTGCCTAGATCATCATTGTCCATCCAAGTTCCCCTCTGCCCAGGGTGACCTGCCCATCCTATGACCAGCCCAGACTGTCACCTCCTCTGAGGAGCCCTCTTGTTCCTGTCTGCTTAGCATGGATGAGAACCACCTTACGCTCTTTCTACCTCAACTTTTCATAGAGTAGCCACATCAGCTTTCTGACCTGTGTCCTACACTGTCCATTTGAAAGATAGAGATTCGGGCCGGGGAGATGGCTCAGTGGTCTAAGTGCCTGCCTGGCAAGTGCAAGGACTGGAGTTCAATCCCCAGTACCACATGCCATGCTGGCCCCGAAACTGGGTGTGGTGGCGCACATTTGTAATCCCAGCACTGGGGAGGCTGAGACAGGAGGATCACTACAAGTCTGAACATAGCAAGACCCTGTACCAAATACACACATGAATAAAAAATAAAATTAAAATAAAAAACAAAGGTTAGATGACATGCCCAAGACAGACTCACTCTCTAAGACTGCACCTGCAATTCTGTTTTCCAGCCAAAGTCCCACACAGAAGCCACCCCCTCGTAACTGTCCCCCTCAGAGATGGCACAGTCAGCACAGTCGCGATACTCAGGCATTGGGTTGGAGGGAGCCAGGGACCTCTCTCCAGGACACACCCCTACCCCCAGCTCCAAGTTGCCCAGCCCAGTGCGGCTCCTGAAGAGGCAACAGATCAATGCAGTGCATTAGGCTGAAGAGGTTGCCGGGGGCATGCAGGGGTGTCAGGTGGGGGGTTTGCCGCGCTGCTTGGTATTCCTGTGAAATGTTTTCAATTTTCAGCTGACTCAGTAACTGTGCATGTTTGTGGGGTACAAAGTAATTTTTAAAACATGTATACAATGTCCAGTGAGCAGAGCCTCAGAACCAGCACGTGCATCACCTCAATCTCGTCTCGCTTCTTTGCATTATGAACATTACAACCCTACGAGCTATGTGAAACGTACCCCGTGAGCTACTGTCAGCCAGGCTCCCTGCTGTGCTGTGGGGCATCAGCAGCTGCTTCTCTCCAGCTGTGCCTCGGTGCTCATAGCCATCTTCCCCCTCACCCTTTCCAGCTTCCAGTAACCACTTTTCTACTATTCTTCAAAAATAATAATAATGAAGGGCTGCCAGATAGCTCTGTAGACTAAAGTGCCAGCTTAGGCAGGGCGCAGTGGCCAGGGTTCAGCCCCCAGCGTGCTGTGCTGGCCCTGCCCTGGGGGTGCCCAGAGATGGTGACTGAGACTGGGTGTGGTGGTGCGCACCTCTAATCCCAGTGCTTGGGAGGCTGAAAACAGGAGAATCACTATGACTCTGATCTATATAGTGAGACCCTGTGGACCCTGTACTAAATACATAAAAAAGAAATAATTAAAAAGATAATAAAGTAAATACATTATTATTTAAGGAATTTTATATATGATTCCCTCCATGCCTATCTAGGTTGCCTTAATGAGTCCTTGGGGACAACAACAGCCCTTTTTAAAGAACTGAAACTTAATCCAGTCATCCTATCCATCTGATCATAATTCTTTTCTTTGGGCTTTTATCTATACTGGATTATGGACACCTCAATGACAACTTCAAAGTTCCTGGAATTTTTTTTTTTTTAAGTATTTGGTACAGGGTCTCACCATGCAGCTTGGACTCGTAGTGATGCTCCTGGTGCCAGCCTTCTCACGTGTGTCATTGCACCAGGACTCAATGGCCGGCTCAGCATGCCCAGGGGCGGGGCCAGCATGGCATGCAGGGTTGGGGATCGAACCCCGTCCTTGTGCTTGCCTAAGCAGGCATTTAGTCTACTGAGCTATCTTGCCAGCCTGATTTCTCAAAAAAAATTTTTTTATTATTTTTAATACAGGATCTTGCTATGCAGCTTGAACTCATCCACTGGGCTTGCAGGCGTGCGCCATTATGCCAGGTTTTGGCACTGCTCCCTGGTTCCTGGGGTCCAGGGCTCCTGGGGTTCCTGGCTGGCAAGGCATGTGGTACTGGGGGTCGAATTCAGAACCTTGCGCTGGCCAGTCAGGCACTTATGCCACTGACCTATCTCAGCAACCCGATTCCTAGGATTTCAGAATCAAATTTCTTCCAGCAAATTACTTTAGGATGCTAGAATATGAATCATACAGAAGGTACTTGGTGTTAGAATATGATCTAGATTCTAGAATATTATTCATTTCTTATCCATTTCTAATATTAAAATCAACACCTTTCAGACTATATTTTACTCTTGAGCAAAGTGTTACTGGTCTCACTGTCACCACAGTGGTGCATTCACTACGACAGGCATCGCCTGTGTCTCAGTGTAGCCACATTGATCAGTTTTGGACACTAGTCCACGGTGCCCATTCCTTCTAGAATGAGGCTGCCTCTTCTCAAACTCAGCTCTTCCAGTTCCTACATGCAAGTATTCATCTTTTTTTCTTTTTTGTTTTGTTTTTTTTCTTTTTTTGTATTTTAGAGAAGGGTCTACAGAGTGTTCAGGGTCTCACTACTAGATCAGACTTGTAGTGATCCGCCTGTTTACAGTCTCCCAAGAACTGGGATTACAGGTGCGTGCCACCATGCCCAGTCTCAATTGGGACCAGCACAGCAGGCCTGGGAATCAAATCCCCGGCTCCTGCACCTGCTTACATGTGCTTTAATCTGCAGAGCTATTTGGCTGGCCCTAAGTATTCATCTTTTTTTTTTTTTTTTTTTTTGGTGGGGCCAGGGATTGAACTCAGGCCCTTGCACTTGCCAGGGAAGCACTTATTCTACTGAGCCATCTCCCCAGCCCCAGTATTCATCTTTTTGACCTGGGTTTGTTTCACTTAACATGCTCTCCCATTCTATCAGTATTGCCAGACATGATAAGACTTTATTCCTTCCCTATGGGTAAATAATATTCCATTGTACCCACATGTTATGGGTTGCATCTAAAACGTCCCACAGAACTCACATGTGTGGATGGTGGCTGGCCCCGTACTCACCAGTAGATTCTGCCATCCGTGAGTGCCCAGCTGGACGTGCCTTTGACTAGTTTGGAGGGTCTGGAGGTACCTCTCCAGGGCTGGCAGGAGGCACCTTCTTAGGAGGATGGAAGTCAGGTTGAACTGGGGCCCACAGCAAAAGCTTTGCTTTCACTCAGTCACCCCTTTGCAGGCACCGTCTCTAAATACAGCCCTATGCTGGGGGCTAGAGCTCCAATACACAAATCTTTAAGGGACACAGCTCAGCCCAGTACCCTGCCGCGTCATCTACACATGAAAAATATACAGCACACCTGAGCCCTGGGAGCTGGGCAGATAACTTTTCATTGTAGTTCTGTGACTCTCTTCTTAATCGAGTAGTGTTGAGTTGAACTGAATTCTTTGGTCAGCTAACCCAGGCTCAGAGAAGGGGTGTATTCCTGAAAAGTGTTTGCTCTCTTCTTTTGGAAAAGAAGGGAGGAAATCCTACCATTGGGATTTCTAAGTGTTTGTTTTAAAATTCATAAGTAAAGAACAATGATAGTTATACAGTAGTAGTGTAAAAAAAAAAAAAAATGAAGTCATAGCTGGACAAGGCAGTACATGCCTGTAATCCCAGCATTCTGGGAAGCTGAGACAGGAAGATCACAGGTTTGAACCCAGCCTAGTCAACTCAGCAACTTAGTGAGACTCTCCCTCAAAAGAAAAGTAGAAGGGGCTGGAGGTGGAGCTCAGCGGCTGATGCCCGGATCCCTAGTATCGACAAGAAAAAAACGAGGCGTTTCAGGCTTGGTGGCAGCTCCTGGGATGCAGGTTTGCCCATTAGTGAATATGTGTGCTTCTTCCCTGGTGGGAGAAAGTGGGTTCTGGCGCAGGGGAGGGCAGGCGGCCGAGGGAGGCCAAGGCCGAGGCGCCCTTTCCTTCCGACTCCACACAGCTCAGGAGATACAGCCTGTGACTTGGCTCCCGCCCTGGGTGCCCTTCCTTCAATAGCTGTGTTATTCACTCCTTTTGGCCTGAAAGTAACTTTTTTTTCCCTCCCCACTAAAACAAGTGTTGCTTTCACCCTCTCAAAACTTGTAACCAGTAAAAAAGTGACTTCCCAGCCCTGGTTACTGCAAATCATTTTCTTCATTGGTCAGACCCCAATTTTCTAATATATAACCTGATAACTGAAAACATAGTACACCAAAGATACTCAGAAAATTTTCCTGTATTTATGTCTCACTCCTACGAAATTTCCACAACCAGCTGGTAGAAATAGAAAAGATTAGCAACGAATTTTTTTTTCCTCATTCACAATTCACAGAAAGTTCCTGATTAGCCACAAAGAGTTTGTATATTATTTAATTCTCTCTCTCTCTCTCTCTCTCTCTCTCTCTCTCTCTCTCTCTCTCTCCTCCCTCTCCTCTCTATCTCTCTCTCTCTTTTACGGTAGGGCCTCACTCTGTGGCACAGGTAGTCCTCAAACTCATAGTGATCCTATTGTCTCAGCCCCCTGACTATGGAGATTACAGGTACACACCACCATGTCCAGCTCCATAATTAATTTTTAATATCTAATTATCAAAAGACAAGGACAAAATAATCTCTATTTTTAAAATATTCTGGGCCAGGCATATAACCTACCATACAAGCACGTGCCTGGCAAGTGCAAAATCCTGAGTTCAGTTCTGGGGGTGGGGGGAAATCCATGTAATAAGTGTGTATACAAAGCAGGACTAGTTCAATCCCCAGTTCCACCAAACAAACAAAAAAAAAAAAAGCAGGACTAACAGGTGAGTTGACTGAGCGACCGAGTGGTAGGCTGCTGTGCTGGGGATGGGATCCAGGGTCTTCAGACACTAAGCATCTCCACTAAGTCACATTCCCTGTCCACATGTGGGCAGGTTTGTTGATGTTGTTTTTCAAATTATTATCTCTTGATTAAAAATTTTATTTTTTTCCTGCATTTTAGGGAAGAGTCTATAGGGGGTTCAGGGTCTCACTACTAGATTGGACTCATAGTGATTCTCCTGTTTACAGCCTCCCAAGAGCTGGGATTACAGGCGTGCGCCCCCACACCCCAGTCTTTGATTAAAAATCTTAATCTTCTTGCTCCCTAAAATGCACAGAAAGGCAAGCAGAGCAAGTCTCACAGATGAGTTTCCACAGGAGGCAGAGACCGAGTTGAAGATTAGCATGACAGGGAGGGAAGGGACACAACTCATTGTAATTTTCTGCTGCTACAGCAACATACCCAAGGCTGCATATTGCACAAAGAAAAGGAGTTTATTCAGCTCACAGTGTTGAAGGGTTTAAGTGCAGGATCTGTCAGTCTCCTCTGCTCTACCTCCGGTGAGGGCCTCCCAGCTTTGTCACAACATGGCTGAGAAGGAGGAAGAGCCATGTGTAGAAGAGCCCCCTGGGTGTGGGGAAGGAAGCCACTTGATAATATCCCACAGCCCTGATGACAACTGTGGTGAGAATTGGGGCGCCATGAGAACTTAGTCCTTCATGAGGACAGTAGTGCCCTGCCCTGACCGCGCTCTACTGAAGCCCACCCCTTAACTGTTCCAGTGGGAATCTCCAGGCTTCCAGCGCACAGCTTCTGGGTCACATTCAAAGCACACCAATACCCAAGACAAGGTCCAAGGGAGGGGAGAGGGCAGAGGGACATGCCAGCATGGGCTGCTCCCATGCTGGGCCACCCTGATAGGAAGCAGCCTCACTGGCCAGGGCCACCCCTGAGTCAGGAATGAGTCTGGCCTTCCAGGGGGCTCCTGTTCCCAAGGAGAGCTGATGGCCGAGTGTGGCCACTGTGTGGCCTTCTCAGAGCTGGGTGAGCTAATTATGTGGTGTTAAGGGAGGAGTCAGGCAGACCCACAGGAAGCAATGACCTTCAGAGAAAGCGAATCTGCTGAAGAGGATCCAGGCTTCTCCTGGTCCACCACGCATCTCATCTGTTCACAAGGGGCTTCTCTATCCTGGTTGCCAGGCAACAGGCCCACAACACTGGTTTTCTTTGGCCCTTAGGGTTTCAAAATTGTGGAGCCTGTCAATATCAGAAACACTGGGAAACTTCTGAGATGGTTAAACTTCGCTGTTGCCCTGATGGGACTGAGAGGCTCCTGGAGAAATTCTGGGGTCACCTGGGTGGGTTAACCCACTGGAGTTCATAGCACAGTGTGTGGTCAGGAGGTGGACTGCCTGAAGGAGATCCCTGGGGCCCTGGAGGGTGCATCTCTCAGGGAGCTCTTCCCCTCCGTGCTGCTTCCTGGCCCTCAGAAGTGAGCAGCTTTGCCCTGGCACACCCTTCTGCCATGATGCTTCTGCTTTAGAACTGGCCAGCCAATGGGACTGAATCCTGAAGGGCCATGAGCTAAATTCAGCCTTCCCTTCTTTACGTGGTCATTGCAGGTAGTGGTCCCAGCTGCCATAAAGGTGACCAGTAACATTTCCCATAAAATTCCAGACTTCTGGTTTCTCTTGAAAGTGTCATAGGACTTTTCAAATTAATCTCTTCAAGGCTATGGTCATGAGAATGGCACAGGCCCAGAGCCTCCTTTGGCCACAGGCCCCTGTGAGCACCTCCTAGGGCTGCAGCCAGAGTTTGGACAACATTCAGTTACAGGACTACCACAGCTTTTGAGTCAGCTTACCTTTGCTTCTAATGTATGCAAATCAGGAAAAATAAACTGACTTCTCAACTACACATGCTTTGATAAGTAACAAATACGAATTTGAAAATGAGAAAAGAAACCAATTCCAACCCAACACACCCCCATTGCATACAACCACTGTGTAACTGGTACCAGTGGACCCGAGTAACCCTTTCATTCATAAAGAAACCAATCTCGGTGACATCTGTGACATGTTAGAGTAAACTGCCTATTTGTTACAGCCTGAGGTCTTTAGTACAAACCAGCCCTAAGAAATGTCATTTAAAACACTCTTTTTGCTAGAGAACACTGTATCGCAAATCCAAGCTGTTCAAGGAAAGTCTTGAGCAGGAGCTCAGTGCACTCCCTGGGGATTTGTGCTGAAATGTGACTTACTCCCAACCTGAAGGGAGTTGCTACGATCCAAGCATTCAGAGCAATGACCGCGGCATGCGCTGCTAGTCTCTACTGTGCAGAAGCTCGATATTTAGGTGGTGTCCCTAGTGCAGCTCAGCAGTGGCAGAAGGAAGGCTCTTGGTAGCTTCACTCTTTCTTGTGCTGCAGGGACAGAGATCTTGGGCAGGGGGTAATGTGTCCAATCCAGGCCCACCCCAGGGATGCGATGGTGTGATGCGGGGGGCGGGGGTTCTCCATGCACATCAGACTCTACTTGATGGATAATCACACCTTCTGCTTCCCTCCACCGTCTCTCTACTGAGGCTTAGGGAGAGTTTGCTAGGATGCCTCCAAAGAAGATTGTTTTTAAAGCTGATTT